TTCTAGCAAAAATACGACTATAATCCATGTCATTCGACAGTTGTATGGCCACATGACGAGAATCCAAAAGACTGATAGAATAAAAGCCAGAAATCTTCAGATTCGCAAAAAAACTCTGAATGGTGTCCAGATTAGGTCTACGAATGTTAAACTTTCCTACTAAAGTAAATTTAAAAGGAGAAGACAATTTTAAAATATCCTCATCAGACATGAGAACAGCAGGAGCACCATTAATGACAGACTGAGTAAATTTCGGAGCATTCTCACCTTGGCAAAAATCCCCTGATAAAACATCTTTAAAAGACCTAGACGGAGTTTTAGAAGAAGCATCACCTTCCAAGTTGAAGAAACCTTTACTTTTACCAAGACTCGGGCTAGCTACCTTCCCCCACGGGTTCGAGGAAGCCATAGCCGCCAGATTAAGACCCCAGAAGGGGGAAAATCGGCCACACAATTACCAGAGCACCTCCAAAAAAGATCCACCAGGAACAAAAAGGAGAAACGGCCTGAAGGAAGGAAAACTCGAGAAACCCTAAAATCGCCAGGAGGCGGCTAGGGCGAGATGGATGAAGCAGGCGGATACGAGGTAATTCAACTGTTATTTGATTTTTTTTTAAATTTAATTAAATAATAATAATAATAATAATAATAGTATCTATTATTATTAATAGATACTATTATTATTATTATCATTAGACAGTAAAACTCAAATAATCAATTTTGCCTTAATTTGCATGATCTCTCAATTTGCATGTCGTTACCTTGGAATGCACATCAATTTTGATGCGCAATTTTAATTGGATAAATTGATAGTCAATTTTGGGTATTTACGGTGCTTCGAAAGCAACAATGAAGTCCGTTTTGCAATAGTACGTCGTTTGGACAACGTCACATGCCAATTTCATGTGTCGGTAACCCCTTTTGATTGATCTCGTCCAATTTGACTGTGAGGGGTTCCCTGTCACAATGACGCTATCCGTTTGACGACCGGAGGTCATTTGGCCCTTCAAGCAACATGTCGCGCTGACGCGTGTGTTACTTAAATCGTCATTTTCAATCTCTTTACGCATGTTTTGATGCATAGGGGTCAACATCATATCATATGAAAGGTTCAAACAACTGAAAATTTATTATAAGAAAATTTATTTGTAGTTTCAAATATTTGGTGAGCTATTACAAATTATCATCATCTTCGCCATACTAATCGTTCAACTATGATGACGAGACAAGATTTTTTAAACTTTATAGATGTGTTTCTCAATTGCTTCCGAATTATAAATTTCCCTCATCTGTGTATGAGCTCTTCAGAGAGAGAGAGAGAGAGAGAGAGAGAGAGAGAGAGAGAGAGAATGGAGGATGGAATTGCCAGGCATTATGCAGGATATACTCCATCTGTGTGGGGCGATTACTTCATTAAAAACCAAGCTCCAATCTCTTCCACTACTCAGGTATTTACTGGGCCATTTGAAAAATTTAACATTAAAGCTTCTTTCTAACAAAAAGAAGAACAAAACATGATAATAGAGATTTTCCCATAATACGTTGGAGAAAATGATGTGTTCTTGAATACAGAAAACGGAGGAATGGATGAGAGAGAGGGTGGAAGAATTGGTGAGAGAAGTTAAGAATTTGCTTGATAACACTTACGAGGATGAACTGCAAAGCCTTGAGCTGATAGATTCTCTTCAACGCCTTGGCGTAGGCTATCACTTTGAAGAGGAAATTGATAAAAGGCTGAGAAAAATTCATCATCATAATGGAAAAATCGAAGGAAATGATCTGCTAGCTGTTGCTCTAAAATTTAGACTGTTGAGACAGCATGGCTATAACGTTACATCTGGTAGGCCTGATCTGTCTCATTTTGTTTTTTTTTTTTTTGGAATATTTTTCATAAAAGTAAAGGGTACAAAATATTCTAACAAATTTTTTTGGTCAGAAAGAGCTCTAAAATTTTTAGATTTGCTTTTGAATGGGAAAACTATTACGTGCAGCGTCTAGAATTGTTCAGGGGCGAATTCGGACGCGCCACGTCACCCGGGGCCAAGTGCATCCGGGTGATGTGGTGCGTCCGAATTTGCCTCTGGACTGTCCCGACACCACACATAATAATCCCTTTTCTGAATACTATCATAACTAAACTTTATTTTCAATATATTTTCTCCATTAGCATATAAGAAAGAGTGATTTTCCATACAAAATAATGAGGACATTAATCAACAATTTTTTTTTTTCTTTTGATTGATTTTCCCTAATGAATCTTTCTTATGTTTTCCCGACTATTTATTAAACAGATGTGTTTACTAAATATAAAGACGATGAAGGGAGGTTTAAGAGCATCTTGGCTAATAACGTCCGAGGCCTACTTAGCTTATATGAAGCTTGTTTTTTATCTACTCATGAGGATGATATATTAGATGAAGCCCTAAACTTTACAAAGCCCCATCTTCAAAGTCTATCAAAGGATGACCAGCTTGACTCAGCCTTAAAGACACTAATATCACATGCATTGGAGTTACCTTTGCATAGGAGAATCCCAAGGTTAGGAGCAAGATATTATATGAGAGTTTATGAGCAAGACAAGGAGAACAAAAATGATATTGTCCTAGAGCTTGCAAAGCTGGATTTTAATCTTCTTCAGTTACTCCATCATGAAGAAGCCAAGAGCCTCTCTATGTATGTTTAATCATTGGTGAATATTTCTTCTTTTTTTTTTTTTCTTAATATTTCTAAGGTCAGAATAAGCTTTCTTTTATATTAAAATAACGAAAGATAACTGTGGTTTTACAAATACATACTCTCTATGTTATCATAAGCATAAGAACTTGCTCAATTACCTTTGGAACAACTTGTAAGAATATACTGATTTCATTCCATAAGGCGAAAGAATTCTTTGAGATTTTTTTTAAAATTTTCTTTGTAAGAATATAATGAAAATTTTCTCTCTCCCCCAACAATTTTTACTATCTAAGAGTTTAGCATATGCACATGTCAATATATCTTTAAATCCTTCTTTGAACAAAGTCTTCTACATTGAATAGAAGCACAAACTACTTTCAATTAGTTTTCTTCATAAAATAATTTTTTAATTTCCACTAACAAACGATATAGTTGTCTTAATTTTTTAGTTTGTTTTTAATATTAATTATGATCCTAACATAATTTGTTTGAAAATGACTATATGTTAATTTGTTCTACAGATGGTGGGAAGAGATTGTTCATGATGCAAAATTCAGTTTCTCGAGAGATAGAATAGTGGAATGTTATTTCTGGATTCTCACAGCATACTTTGAACCACAATACTCAATGGCAAGAAAAATAGCGACAAAGGTGATTGCACTATGTTCAATCACAGATGATATATATGATGCTTATGGAACTTCAGATGAGCTCCAATCCTTTACTGATGTGATCATGAGGTTTGTGTATAATTTTAAAACTCAATATTTGAAATATTTTAGTTTAAAAACAATTAGTAAATAAATGAGAATCATAAATAAAATAATCCATATAATTTTTTTTTTATTGCAGCTGGGATGAGGAAGCAGCTCAACAACTGAAAGAATATTTGAAAGTTCATTTTCATAATTTTACTAAAACTTTACAGGATTTCAACAACGAGTTAAGCAGCCATGGAAAATCTTATCGCGTAAAATACCTCAAAGAAATAGTATGATTTATGTTTTATGAAAAAGTTAATTTATTTTGATGTGAAAAAAAGAATATGTTGTATATTCATAATTAATTTCTCAAGCTTACATGCTTTAGTTAAAAGTGGTAATAAAAGCTTGGAACGAGGAAGTAAAATGGAGAGAAGAAGGATACATTCCTGCACTTAAAGAACACCTGGAAGTGACGACAGTGACTACCTGCTACAATTTGTTAGCATGTGCAACTTTTGTAGGAATGGGTGATGTGGCAACAAAGGAAGTGTTTGATTGGGTGTCAACATTCCCAAAGTTTACCCATCAAGCATCGCTGATATGTCGCATGAGAGATGATGTTGTATCCCACGAGGTGACATACACTCAATCATTATATATATATATATATAGATGAAATATAGTTTAGAATTTCTATCTTTGAAAAACATTATGGCACATTCCTTGGCTAAATCATAATGTCATTACATTTGGAAATGTCTTCTTGTATTATGCATTCATCAATACCATCATATGTCTCTTCAAGGATGGCATCTATGATAATTATATCCTGACATATGGCATGTATTATATGCATACACACATGCATACAAACACACACACACACATACACATACAAAGTCTAACAAAAAAAAAAAAAATATTTCAAATAATTTAATTTAAATAGCATAATCCATTTTCCCTAATTAAGCAATTACCTCCAAATATTAAAAAAAAATGCATATTAGAAATTTCTCAAATGTCATAAACATATAAAACAAATTAAAATGAAAACAAAATAATATAATAATGTCCTCTAACATATAGTTTTTATTTTATAGTTCGAACAGAAGAGAAACCATGTTGCTTCTACAGTACAATGTTACATGAAAGAGCATTGTGCTACATTGGATAATGCTTGTGAGGAGCTATTGAAAATGGTGGAACTTGCATGGAAAAGTTTAAATCATGAGTACCTTAATCTAAGTGGAACTTTTTCCAAGGATATTCTCATGAGAGTCATCAACTTTGCCCGTTTTATGGAAACCGTATATGTCATTCAAGACAAGTATACCAATTCATCTTTGATAAAAGATCACATCTCAAAGCTTTTGGTTGAACCAGTTTCCATTTGAAGAATGGAATCCTCAGACTACTTCATGTTCCAATTTTTTTATTTAAGAAATAAATGTTTTATGCTTTGGTTTGGTTGGATGAAAACTATTTTGTTTGATGTATTATCATATACTTTGTTCAACTTGAATGTTGTATTCTAAGTGTTGCTACTATTAATTTTTTAAGTTGTAGATTTTTAGCATTATGTGTTGATTTATCCTAATAACACTACTGAATGTTAAGAAATTATGAATATAAATGATAATTATTTATTTAGTTAAATTTCTACTATGTCGATAAAGGTGAAATAAGAACTTTAAAACAAAATTATTTAGAGGTAAAAAAGAAGTTGGAATAAATAAAGTAGCAATAATTTTTAGTTTTATTATATTAATCTTTAAAGTTTACAATTCTTTAAATATTTTTATTAAGTATTGTTATTTGTTTTATTTACTTAGCTTATGTTTAATTTCATTGACAAATGTTAATTTTGGCTATAAAATATAAAACAAAAATCATTGCAGCCCAAAGATTTGAGAAGATTATTTCTCAAGATTATGGGTTGAGCCATGTACTTGTGATTTATGGCTTATCATACCCAAAGAAAGGCACACAATTTTGCCACTGCCGATGTTAATTTGAAACACTTCTAACAAGGATTAATTTATTAAGGTATATGGAAATTATAATAAATGTCATTTTTTATGCATCAAATTGTATCAAAAATAAAGTTCAATTACAAAATGACCATGGACTCAAGCCAACTAATAAGTGTAATTGAGTACATTGCTAAAAAAAAAAGGCAATGGTAAGGATTGGAGAAATCTCTAGATGAAAATGTTCATAATAAATATCTAATTTACACAAAGAGAGTGAGTCAAAACAAGCTGAAATCTTTTTCAGATCTAAAATAGATTCCTACTGAATTCACATTAATTGGAAAGTCTACCTTTCATCTGTCACCGCCTGCTTGGTACTATATGAAAATTTTTCTTCTTTCTTAAATGTTGTGATGAATTTTATGTTTCCTTCATGGACCCTTATAATATTTTGATCAAACTCTAAAATGATTTAGATTATAGTAGGATCTTTTTGCGTAGAGTAGGGGTGCAAGTGAGTTGAGTCGGCACTACAGAAAATCACGAATTACTGGTGAATTTTTTTGGTGGATTTGGAATTTACTTACAAAAAATAGCCATCGGAAAAGGTTTCTGGAAGAAAAAAGCAGTCGAAATATTTTCAGGAAGCTATTCGGCGGAATAAGACCACAATAAAATAAAAAAAAAAATTAATTGAGGAAAAAGTCGCAAGCTTGCCTTGCCTGGCCGAACAGCTATACCCGCCTGCCAGGCAACCCTCCCGCAGCTAACTACACGCTCGGCTGCCAGCCCTCACTTCCCAGCTTCCCGCTTGCACCGCCCCGCTACCCGCCCTCACTTCACGCCGCTTAATGCCTTTGAGATTTGAACTTAGTCTTAAAAATTTTTTGAAATGCATGCGGGAATCGAACGGTGGACACAGGTGGGAAATTGAGAACCTGGGTAGAAAAAAATTGGATGGATGAGGATCGAAATGGTGGACGCAGATCTGACACAAAATTGAGTAGCTCGTTGAGCTCATTTCAGTGTCACAAGTCGAGCTCACTAATTGACACATGAATCGAGCTCGAAGACCACCTTCCTCGAGCTAGACTTTACTCATTTAGACCCCTACCATAGATTATACCATGTGAGCAACTGTTAGGAAGACGTAATCCTAACCATTGATTTCAATCAACAGTTTGGATTAGATCCCGTGGTTCCAGAGGCCGTTTAATCGTGACCATCCAATCGTTCATCCGACGGCCGTGGTTAATCCGACCGTTATCCAGTCAGCCGCCAATGATTGCCTTGCAAATCATGATGTGCCGCATTTAAAACACCGGCTGACTGGGTAATTAAGGGATTTAATTTCACAGAAAATTAAGGGGAACTTCAAAAATTGATATCTCCCTCCATACTTGACTAAATTAGGTGTTCTAAGGCTCATTAGAAAGATCTCAGGGAGATCTACAAAAGCCTTTTGATTCCATGCTCTAATTGCATCGATATCTATATTAAACTTAATTTTAGTATTAGTGTTTTATTAATTATATTTATTGAGTAAATTGAATTCACCATAGCCTGGAATTTTGGGAGATTGAATTTGGGCATGCCCCTGACATGTCAAAATTTTATCTCCCATGTTTGAAGTGTTTAAGGGCATCATCTTACCAATTTTGGTTTGAGGGTCATGATTTGGCCCTTAAATCCAAATTGGAATCATTCTCTATCCAATGAGGTTTAGGGTCTGATTTTGAATGTGATGATGATGTGTAGAATAAGGAGTTTAGGGTCAATGATCTTGCCCCAATCCAACCCTAGGATAGCTCCCTAGAATTTTTTTAGGGTGACTTAGGGATCACCTTAGGTGGCTTGGTTAGTCACCTTAGAGAATTCCATTTGGGCTCAAATCTGATGTGTTTATGCCTTAAGATCAGGTGATATCATGGTCCAAATATCATTGGATTTGGTGCCCATTTGGTCCACCAATTACGAACCAAAAATTTCCCCCGTTAGAAATGACCTAAAGCCTAATTAATTCAACAAAAATTCTTATTAATTCCAAAAATTGCATAAAATACCTATAACTAACCTTAAAGGGACCCTTAATTAGTGAAATTTTTAACTTCTTTAATTTGGTATTAAAATCCACTTTAATTTTAATTTTAAGTTAAAATCAATGTTTAATCAATTTTAATTAATTAAAAATTATTAAAAATCCAAAAAAATTCTTTAAACTCTTTTTGTTCTCTCCTTAGATTATTTATGATCTTTGGAGTTGATCTAAAATTGTTTAAGACCTATTTGGGTTCAAATCACTAAAAATGACCCTTAATTAAAACAATTAAATAAATCCAATAAATGCCAAAAATTTTCAGAATTCATAACTAATTGTAAAAAATTCCAAATCAATCAAACTAAGTGGCTAATGACTTTAATTAACATCTAGTATTTTCTAAAAATGTCAAACCTCCAAAATCTAGTCAAAGTCAAAAAATCAACATTTTGGTCAACCTCAGGTCAAAATCGGGTCAAAACTTCTAAAAATCATAACTTGTCATAGAAAACTCTAAATTAAGTGGACCACCTATCTAACAACTCAAAATAAGGCCTAGTATTTATTAAAAATCTGAAACCTTTAAATTTCCCTCTAATTCTAAAAAATCAACTTTTGACCTCTTAGTTAACGTATCTAGATAATTTCCTAAAACCCATTAATTCTTTCAAACTCCAGAATTTCATAACTTGATTAATAAAATTCTCAACCAATCCTTTAAAATCAGTAACCAATTCTTTTTTTTATTATTATAGTAATTTATCCTTTGATTCCAATGAACTTAAATTAACCTAATCAATTCCGATTACTACTGGGTAACCTAGGCCTACGAGGCTATTAGCTTAGCCCCAAGGAAGGTGAAATAAAGGTAGTAATTATTTAACCCTTAAAAATATATTTAAATAAAATTCTTAATATATTAATATTTAAACTCTAACTTAAATCTCCCTTTAAGCCTTAACAAAATCCAAAATTTTAGATAACTATAATTAACTACCCAACCTAGGATATATCCCAGCCACACGATCCGTTACACACACTTTAGATGGTTTACTAGGGCAACCAACTTTAGATCTAGATTAGGCCGGTGTTTACTTTTCCGCTGTGTGCCAGATTTTTCATGATTTTACTGCATGTTGTGGATGAATTTACCTTACTGTGTCTGCTTACTTTTTACTACACTTTGTGGATGATTGATGTGTTTGGCGACTAGATTACCCTTACAATAGGAACGATCTGAATGTTCATATAGTTTTTTGCAGGTGTTCACGCTCATGCAGGTAATAAAAGGGGGATAAATAAAAAAAATTAATTATAAATATGCTCGCACAAGTGCTTCAGCTGCTAAGCCCCCAAGTAATAAAAAGAGCGTGGTTAGTGTATTTATTTACTTTTATGCACATTAATATATAACTGCATGGGAATAAATGTTTTTTTGATTTATTAACTGCTTAGGATAACCTTGTAGAAGAGTCTAGATTTCTTTATTTCATATCAAATATAATTTGTGCGAATGTTAAGTTTTATGAAAGTAGAGTTTTGAGTTGGGATACATAGATCCAAAGCTTGGATTCCAAAGAGAAAATGACACCGCTTAGGAGAGTAGCCCTTTTATATTTGGAGATCCAAATTTAAATCACTTCTTCCCTCCCCAAAGAGGTAAGAGTGGCCTTCCCCTTAAAGGAAGTGCTCTCTTATCCATTTGGGTAGCTTACTACAAAGAATCCAAGGAGCCTGAAGGAAAGGAACCCGAAGGAGAACAAGATTGAAGATTTGAAGACAAAGAAATATCCCACACAAAATCACTTGCATCTCTACTAAGTTTGAAATTCGGGTTATTATAAGTGGTGCCCGCGGCCACTTTACTTTCTACAAGACCCTGGTTTGTAATAAGCAAGGCAATTTGCCTATGGACATTTAGTAATTAATTCATTTATATTTGATGTGTTGAGATGATTGCATATGGAACTATTTGCTTTTTCAAGTTTTTTTGCGTCTATGTGCCGCTTTTGGTTTCGCCTAAATATGTGAGACTCGTGAGGATGTGAAAGTTTTATACTCATTATTATAAAGTTTCAAAATTTAGCGAGTCTAAATAACATATAAAGATAACGAATCTAGGGAATTAGTCGGGGATCGACCCCAGGGTTGCATGCATATTTCTGCACTTCTTCTTTCCTTGCTTTAGACCCTTCTCCGCCTGCGGGTAAAGTCTAGATAGTCTGACCTATGAGGACAATGTGCTGGACCTAGGGAAGCCCAGTCTTCTAAAAAATTATTTTCTAAGCATGTTTTTTAAATTTTAAGCATATTTGATTTAAAGTTGTCAACTAACATGTATTGCATTAGAAACACATTTAAAAGAGTCAAAAATTTTAATTGC